GACGAAAGCGCCCAAAACTCGGTCACGAATGTCTGATGAGATACTCTGTCGAACGCGAGAAGGCATGCCGACGACGTTAGAATCATAGACATGGTTTCGGTCGTGCGCTTATGTTCCAGCTGTTCATTGCTCTCAGACCAATTGTGATCCATCGTTTCGGACGTGAGGGGGCGCATACAAGCCCGTTGCACCGTCGAAGTGCATTCCTCTAAGGTTCATTCACAAGTCTCACCCAGTCAACGGGCAGCGCGTTCACATCCCCAGACTAACGCACCGAACCTTGGCATTCGGCCAATGAGAACACACTTAAGGTCAGAGGATTGCCTCTGAGCGACTGGCGAATCGCACAGGATTTTGCAAAATTTTGGACTTTCTTTGCAAAGTTTTGGACTTTCTTTGCAAAATTTTGCACCTTCTTTGCAACATTTTGGTCCTTGTATGCAACTTTGCGGGAAATGGTTTAGTTCACACATGAGGTTAATCACCATGCGTACGCGCGCGATAATATGGTCGTGTTTCAATTGGGTACTGTAGCTCAGCCGAATGTATTGAGCTGATTTGTGTACTATAATGCAGCTAAGTCGGTGGTGGCGTTTGGGTCGAGCACCCCAGTACACGAATACCTCTGCTGGTGAGAGATGCAGCTGTAACAGAAGAAGGCACTCACCGTCGTCAATATGCCAATAACCGAAGCTGTAAGTATTTCAGTGTTTGGATTCCGACTATTGGCTTATCCGATAAGTCGTTACCCGTAATGATCGATATACCCGTAAATATTTTCATGGTAATGGACATCGAACCTCCTAAATAAGCAACATATTTAGCCACTTCTTAGCCACAGGTAAGGCGTACAGCGAAATACTATACACCTGGCGGTCCTCCATAGGCACCTGCGAAATATGATGGTGTTGTAAGCTCGAAACTAACACATGAATCTGATGGCTAAAGACGACATGGATGACAACAGCAATGGACTCAGTGTCCCCAGCTCCACCAGCCCTATCGGCTAAGATGCATTGGGATACAAATATCTCGTCTGCACTTTGTGGAGATATATCCCGCATACATTATAAGGGAGAGCAGAGGGGGAACTAGTGAAGTGAACAAATTTGAAATCAAATCATTGATTGGGAAGACCGTTTAGAAACAAAGTCAACATAAGCAGAGAAGATATCTACGGAACTAGAGGAGAAGCCCAGAGAGGATGAGCTTTTCCACTGATAGACAGATATATAGGAGAAAAAGTAGATTGGTAACTTGGTGCCAAAGATCCATCATACTCTCATACCATCCAGATTGACACACGGGTTTTGACCTAGGTATCAAGCATAAAACACTGATGAATGTGTTAAATCCATTCAATGGCAAGTGGATCCAATTCGTAATTAGGATTGCAGTGACTGACGAGAATTTGCTTAGAATATAGGCGAAGCGGTTTGATACGATAAAGCTCTGTTGACCACAAAGGGCAAATTTTACATGATATATACCAAAGTAAGGGCATCACTGTCGGTGGGATTTTCCATTGTTCGTGATCTGTCGGACCAAATTCCATCGGCTGGACACCGCTTGGCTTATGCAATCACGTGGACAAATTGTATTTCTTCGGCTCCTGACGTCTTTACACTTGTCCCCTTCGGGGTGGCATAGCTGTCATGGCGTTATCGTGGTAAGTAGTTAGTATCATTGACCAGCACATTGGCCAAAACAGGAGATTACGTACCGGCCTACCGTTTGTCTGTCCGCTTACTCTGTATCCTCAGCCACTACTGTACGATAGATATTAGATTTACGCCGGATAAAGTTTATGGGTAATTGACCGTGTTATTTAACAGCCAGCTGGGCGAGAAAGCTGATTGACAACGCGCGCGTGTTCGTCACAAATCGTGCTTGGGACAGACCCTGCGAGAGTATTGCCAGGACCCAGCCGAAAGCTGATGAAATCGCGCGTCAGACATCACGTGCGTTGCCATGCTCCGGGTAGGCGGATGAAGACTGGTGTGCCCGAGCAAAAGGGCGAACGGGCCAGACGGAGCGGACAATCAAGTGTGGAGCGTGGGCTTACAGCGAAATCCGCCAGACGATGTTTAGAGGGTTGGTGAGACCGACATATAAATACATGCGTTCTCGATTCTAATACAACTCTGGTCTGCTGAGTCTTCTTCTGTCTTTCTTCCTGTCAATCAGAGCAGGCTTAATGGCGCAGATTTATCAGCAGGCGTGAATCAACCAGCCGATTGGGGGTACAGCGTTAGAACATTAACACATGTGTGAATAATATCTATATGGATGGAAATTGGCAACACCGAACCAAATTGACTTGGCCTTACTAGTGAATAAGCGAATTTTGTTGTTTTATTAGGCTCATCGCAGTAGCTTACAAGCCAAACATCTTACCATCAATCCAAAATACGTCAGCTGGCCGTTATTTCTTACTGGGCACGCGTCAGTGGCGCGGACTTTGCGGCCCCATCAAAAACCGAACTAATGACCAGACAACGGCTACTTGCACTACCAGCCAGTAGTTTACCCCACTAAGCTGCAAGTTGCAAGCCAAATGCAATGTAGCGCGACTAGGTAAACAAGTGGTAACAAGCTAACGACAGCAACAACACATTCCAGTGGTTGGATTATTCGTGATGTTAGTGCTCTTTGTTAGTCCACGTATTGGTCTGCTATGGCTGAGTTTGAGGGGAAAGGACAATTGATCGTATTATTGATAGGAGTTCGTCTGGCCCGTAACCGTTGGCCGTCTGGCATGAGTAACTGAAGACGGCTGGCAGTTCCACCGAGCGTAACTCTGCGAAGCGCAGTTGAACATCCACTCCGTAGGCGCATGAAGCACAACCTCGATTTGAAATGATTTGCCTCATTCCCACTCGCGTAATTGGAGACACGTCTTTCACGATGCTGACCTTCAGGCAAGGTCAGGTGAAATGGGCTTCGTAAGAGCGGACGTTTGATTGCCGACTACTGACTACATGCAAGCCGTATCCACGAACACCTGTGATAATGCAAGTAATCCTGTATTGAAACGGAACCAGGGTGGTTTTGAATTCACAAGGATTTCGAAGCCTGCTGAGACTGTCATTCAATATCGAAAAGCCCCCATTCTTGTTGTGGAAGTTTACGAAATTGAAGTGACGCCAAGTTCAAAGTGACCAAAGAGTACCTTACTGTCTACTTCTCCACCTTTTTAACATTTTAACTGATTGAACACCCCGAAGGCCTATCTGGGGACTGCTTTGAAAAATTCGGACAATCATCTGTCCTTTGCGATCCTGTTCCATCTATCGATCAACCACTTAGTTGGATTGTATCCCGCACAGTGAAGAATAACATAAATTAGATAAAAGTAAGAACCTGTAGGCAAACAATCCCGATTAACGCTGCCCAATTATAATCCCGAGTTCAAGATTACCCAACTGCGTGGTAAATCAGGGGGCATTTTGTCACACAATACTGGTTATCCAAAGATTGATTTGTGAAATCCACAGTTTACTGTTAGGACAATACAAGGACTGCTAAGATTTTAGAGACGAAGAGATAACTGATTAGCAAAACATTTCAAGAACATACGGATGACAAGTTCAATGAAAAAGATGGTTAAAAAAGCTGTGTAAGAGGACTGGCTCATTTACAACTGAATGAAAGGAAGAAAATAAGTTCAACGAAGCCGCAGAGGTTTAGAGACCAGCTCGTGAATGTATGGTACCAAACACTTCCTACGGGATGTTCACGAACCTACAACATATTGGTTAGGCATGAAAGAAGACGTTTGGACATGCGTAACGACGCACCAACAATGCTAACTTCGCAAAAAAGCTGTGTGTGCGAATTTTCAACTACTGTGCTCAAACAGAGTCAGTGGTTTTAGCTGGTTCATCGTTGGAGTGAAATATGAAGGACACCAAGGGTCGATGCAAACTCGTGCTCTGAGTTAGGAAAGATAGAAGGGGCTCTGATGGGTGGTGGTAGATCAGAATTCGCACCCACAATGGAAGGACCAATAGGCCATAAGTGAATGTACACGAATCGACTAAAATGGTTAGATTAATAAAAGGAATACGTCTAAAGGTGCTGGCCATTACGCATGTTTGCAAAACTGGGATTTGGCCTCAACCATCCACCGGAAGGTAACTACTTGAAATGCATACCCCACTGTTCAACCTACGCACGTCGCGCATGCAAAAGCAAGGATACTTTTGTGTAAATTGAATTGTGTCACTATACACGGTTTCTCTCCTCAGGAGAAACGTACGTATTAGCATTATTATGCTTTCTTGTAAAGTTGGGTGTAGACGCAAGTGTGTGGTGTTACTTTCTGAAAGAAGTAACTAACGATTGGCCGGGAAAGCAGTCCGATAGTAGTTACAGCAGATGCAGTTTGTCGGGAGTTAGGGGGTCAATTTGCTGTGTGATAGTGCAACTCGCGAATACGATGATTGTTACAGCAATGAATTAAAATTATGTCCACCAGGATTGTTAATGTATACACACATAGCCGAAGGCCATTTAATGTATTGTTCTACCAATGCTCCGGTCTTCTTATCGCAACAGAGGAGTTCAAAACCAGCCTGCACCACGAGTCTACAGTCGCTGAAGGGACACGTTTATTCGCTGTCCTGGGGCATGTTCGTACAATTGCAGTAGAATGTTTTCGAAGTGTTTAGGACCTCAGGCTGATGTGTGCAAACGAACGATTTAGAACTAGAATAAAGCATGACTACGGCATCTACTGAATAATACCGACGTACACAGAAAAATCCGAAGATGTGAGATGGTGTGGTTGCTACCGATGAGATTGACAAGAATTAAACACACAATACTGCATTAACAAAGCCGACTCAGGGATATCAAAGGGGCGGTAACTCGTGGCATGAAATATCCCCTCATCCATAAAACATGTTGAAGTACATTGGAAAACTTATATAGAATTATCTGACGTAGACAGAATCCGTGGATGAAACTATGACTGTTACATGTTTTGTCAGACTTACCTTTTACGACTTAAGGTAAATTGAATCTCATGAGTGCCGGGAAACTCGTTATGTCGATAGTCCCGATGCAAGGGTTTAAAGTTTGGCCACACGTCGTGGCACCCGTAACATTTAGTACGTTCACTAGGCATGCTGCAATGTTCAATCCATCTAGAAAACGGGCTTTCAGGATGAAGCAGGCGGAGCCCATGCACATACGGACCTGGGGCACCGACCAAACTGTTCACACACACTTCGCACTCTGTCGCATCCACCCAGTCCCAATACGGTACAGCAAAATCGTCCCAGCCGTACATTTTTGAAGCAATTTTCCTTAATTCGCGCTCCCAAAACAAGACGAAATATCGATGCCAAGTTGCAAAGCCAACCACGTTATGATTGTTATCAATCTTTGGGTAATAACGACATTCCTCAGGTGTTGGATGCAGAGTGCTTCTGCTAGGATATTCATGCAAGAAAACGAGAAAGTATTTCAAATCTACATCCAGAAACCTTGGTTTCCACAGTGGATCAGAGTGGACTTTGTCACCCTCGAATAGAATGAGATATTTCGTTGGTATTTCGGCCGTTTTTGCAACAATGTTGACGAACATATCACGCTCTTTTGCATTGAATGCGAGCACGTTACGACGCACCACCTCATCTCTTTGATTGCACAACGGTCCTTTCCATCCGAACCAGCACTCGTCACATGCAATTCCGAAGTAGTTGCCTTCACAGCTGCAGGCATATTTGAAAAATCTTGACGGCCAGTGCATTCGGTCATCGACCAATAAATGCGTCGGCAGCACTTCCAATTGAATGAACAGACGCTGACAAGTTCCAATCCCCTTTCCACCACACGGATATTTCGCCCCGGCCGGAGTCGGGCAGCAAACACCACTGCCACCCAGAGCAGTAATATTATGCACACATGCCTTGGGAATTATAGCCCGAGAGATATGGAAGTGAAACAGAGTCAGTAGGAGACGCAAAATCCAGTTGTTTGCTCTCATCTAGTAGTGAAGGAAAATGTAGCGACCCAATGAAGGGATAACACAGCCACAGAGTTCAATGAAAATTATGAACGGAACGGAATGTCCATTTCATCGATGCGGTGCACTCAAATTACGTGCGGCCTATTGCAGTGAATCGATGTGCGATGTTTGATATGCGTAGTTACAACAATCAGTATACACCCATGCAAAGGCAGGCGATGATAAGCAACGGATACGGTTGCTCGCCTACCAATCATTACACAGGCGGGCACTTGTCTGTTTGTTCGACATTCAATAAGCACGGACTCAAGGATATGTGCTCGTCTACGGAACTGACCGAGTTACGTCCTAGTGGTGCCCGTGACCAATTTAAATAAGTCTGTTGACCTCAAAGCTGCTCTCCAATGATGGAACCAATTTGTGTGAACGAGATCATTTAATGAGACTGGTGCAAAGATCCTGTAGCCAAAATTGTAGTCTTCCAATGCACCAACCACACTGGAGTAAAATGTGTGTTGCTTGATAATGGGCTGTCTTTCTGAAGGTTCGGTCAACTCCGAAGTCTTTTGTTGCAAACATCACGGATTGAGCGTCTGTTTATTGGACAGACCGGTAAGCGATGAATGGAGATTTTTCGTTTCACTAAACAAGCATGAGGGTGCGTCGGACGACTAACGTGATTCCGATCAATCGCAGTTCTGAGTGCATATGGTCAAGAGAACAGTGCACAAATCGCCGTGCAGGATCAGGAAAGCCAAAGAGTGTGCCGGATAGGTCATCAATAATGAATGAACCTCAGCGGCAATCCGCTGAGGGTCACGGTTTATCAGCAGCATAACATGCAGTGTGACTTGCAACGCGTCGGGTGTTGCCGAGACTAGTTATGTACATCCAGGCTGCATGTTAGAAAAAGGTTCTTAACCAGTTCATCTAAAATTCGATGCACTAGAGCTACGTAAAGCGGATCTGGGAATAATCGAAGCATAAAGATGACACCAATGATGTTAACATTCTGATTTCGCTGGTGAGGTCAAGATACCATGTGGTAACCCTTACAGTCGACTGATGAAATATACCGGCATGTACAGCACCAAATACTTTCCTCGTAATCATAATGTGAAGACGGACCAGTGACGTTTTCTCTTACGGAACCAAGCAGCATCAAAACGCATCTATATATAGTCCCAGCCGATTTGATTCCCATTCGTGGTTTAGTCATTATAGCCGTTGCTTCCGTATGTGATCAGTGGTTACGCTACCGTGACTGTGGAACAGCTGTTTGACCGGTGGCTAAATACATGCAAAGCAAATGATCATGTTGCATGGATGGAGCGATGCGGCAAAGGGTAAAAAGAGCAAATACTTGATAAGTCCCATAAGATGATCGGGGTGAAAAGTACAAAGATGAAAACTATCTCAATGAAAGAACGCGCAAGATACATGGCTCACCAAGAGGGTTGCCGTAGCACAGGTTTGAGAGGATTCTGATACCATCCACTGTCTATTCTGTCCTAATGCGATTGTCTGATATTCAGGTATTACATTACGGAGTGTAAATGTGTCAGTGTGTCATCAATGCGTTTTGAATAGCGGGCGGGAGAGCTTACGGTGCGCTGAAGCTTGCGGTGTCTAGACCATGACAGATGATCTACCCACTGCTGCTATTATTGTGCCATGGGCTCATATTCTAGACGCCTTCTCGTGGCGACCGCTCGGTGGGATTTGGGTTACGCCCTTCTCCAAGCTAAGAGTCAGGACACCAATCCGCATGAGTCACTGAAGTGACCATGTACTAGACCCGCTGCATTTCGGGTGTACATTTAATCGAAGGCTTTGGCTCAGGACCAGAGTCGCCCTCCTGTCAGATGTGGGCGCTCTGCCAGTATCTTAGTTCAAACCCCTTTGGGTGACTTCAACGCGCGCACTGGACGTGATGCATCGGTGTGGACAGATGTCCTCGGTCCGCATGGCATTGGTTCAGCGAATGAGAACGGTGACAGGCTGCTCTCAATTTGTGCCACTCATTGCCTGAGGAGCACGAACACTCGGTTTGCACGGAGTGCGAATGATATAACAACTTGGATGCACCCACGGAGTGGTCACGCTCACCTGCTCAACTATGTCATCGTACGTCAGCGTGTTATGCGTGAAGTGCGCATGACACGTGTACTGCGTGGAGCTGAGTGTGGCACTGATCACAAATTGGTGCGGACCAAACTGTACATATATTTTCGTTAACCTGTGTTACACTCCTACCGTGAACCCGCGTAAATGTAACATTCTCTCCGTCGCTTCTGTGAGGAAACGTACTGAGCTGGAGAAGATGACGGCTTTCCCCTTGTCTGATGTGGAATGTAAAGCCACAATGGGCGACCTGTGGCACCACACTCGCTACCAGGTCAAAGCTGCTGCCGAAAAGATCATCGCGCGCGCAAACTGTAAGCGGCCTGATTGGTTTGACGAGAACAATGCGACGATTGGCGCATTGGTGCCTGAAAGGCATGTAACATTTGCTACATGTGTGGCAGACCGCAGCGACTTGGGGAAAAAGAGTCAGTTTCGTAAATTTCGACGGTAACTGACCCGAGAGCTCCGTGGCATATAAACTGCTTAGTGGATGGGGAAAGCGAAGCAGATGCGATGCTATGCCACAACACAAGGAATTCTTTGACTCCTTGAAGGCGGTGTATGGACCGATATTGAAGCCGCTGACGACGCTAATCGATGGTAGTTCAGGCGCTACCTGCACACAGACTGCAGGCATAATGCAGATCTGGCGAAAACACTTCGACTGTCCCTTGAACAACCGTTCAGAGATTGACTGGCCTACCTTGAACGGTCGGAAGCAGCACGATGTGGATGCGAATCAGAGATCACTTACTTAGCTGCGAAACGGCAAGTGTGCTGGTGCCGACGGGATCCCACCTAAATTATGGAAACACAGCGTACCCGCGTTGGGGACTGCGCCGCACCACTTGGTGCAATGTGTGTGGATTAAGGATGAAGTACCTGCTGAGCTGAAGGATGCCCTTGAGCTACCACTGTACAAAGTCAAAGGAAGCAAGCAATGTGCCACGAATTATCGTCGTGTCTACTTGCTGAGTTGTACGGACAAAGTGATTGCCCGAATCCTACTCGACCGCCTCGTCAGTCAGGTTGTGGAACCTAACATGGCGGAAGAGCAGTGTAGATTACGTTCGGGTAGCAGCACCATAGATGTGTTGTTTGCAGCTCGTTAGTTGCAGAAGCAAATGCAGAGAGCGACACCAGCCATTGTACTCGCCGTTAGTTGATTTCACCAAGGCATCTAATACGGCGAACCGCGAGGCATTGTCGCTGGTGTTGGGTAAGTTTGGCTGTCCGAGTACGTAAATTTAATTGAATGTCTGCACAGTGGTATACGAGCGAGGGTGCAGCTGATTGGAGAGACTTCGGATGACTTTCCACTTGTTTCCGGTGTGAAGCAAGACTGTGTCTTAGCTACTGCCCTGTTTGATAAGTATCTTCATCCAATGATGTCTTGTGCTTTTGTTGCGACTTGTGCTTACGGCATTCTTGTGGATCATCATATCCATTGTGGGTTGCTGAACATCCATCGTTTCGGTGCAAGAACCCTAGTCTATGGAACAGCTATCCGTAAGTTGCTGTTTGCTGACGACTGTGCGTTGTTTGCACACAGCACGGATGAGTTGCAGCATATGACTAATTCTCTGGCTTCGACAGTGGCCAAATTCGGGCTCAACATGAACAAAAGAAAGACCGTTTGTCTTTTTCAGCCTTCAGCCGGAATGGATACCGTGGGCTTGCCCCAAATCCCGATTGCCGACAAAATGTTGGAAATCACTTCGAGATTTTGCTACTTTGCCAGCGTAATAACAACCGATCAGGCAGATGATGTGCGAGCTGTGCAGCCGCTGCATTTGACAAGCTGGAATGCTGTGTGTGGAACAACCACCTGCTCATGGTTGGGACGAAGCTGCTGGTATAAAAGTCTGTCCGTTCTTCTATGCGGCAGCAAAATCTCAACACTTTATAGGAAGGATGCCCGTTATCTGGAACGCTTCCATCAGCATTGTCTGCAGCGTATTATGCGCATCGGCTGTAGTGACCGAGTTGCAGACACGGAGGTGCTTCGATGCATTGGATTATATGCATTGGACTGCATAATTTTCCTGAGGTGGTTCGGGCATATTTGCCGCATAGATTCAACTCGAATGCCGAAACAGCTGATTTATGGCCAACTGAGTGCAGGGAAACGGCACGTGGGAAAACCGAAGTTACGATACCAGGACATGATCAAAGTGAGCCTATCACGTTCTAGTCTTGCTTGCAGGTCATGGGGAATCGAAGGCGATTGATCGGCGTGCATGGCGCCACCTAATCACGAAGGCTGTTGCCGAAGTTTAAGAGAAAGCCCTCGTATATGCAGAGAAGCGGTAATTGCGGAAGCGATAGGCGCCGCTGGGCTGTACTCCATCGACGTCGAACGCATGGTGCCGTAGCACATGCGGTCGCAAATGCCTGAGTCAGGCAGGCCCAGTGAGGCACGAGCCAGTCCACGCAGGACCAGAATTGAAACAACGACGAGTCTTGCCGAGAAGGTAAGCAGAACCAGCGCAGCCTTACTAGATACGCTGCACTCGATTTATTAACCGTGTGCTTGCATGCTGAGTTGATTTATTGCAGGTGGTTGGTTTACTACCTTGTCTTCGTGTTATTGTGTTACCTCATATTAATGTGTACCTGAATAGTCTATTAAATAGCATATTTCGCTTAAACTAAGGGCGGTTAACTTCGCTTAATGTTTCTCCCTCTTACATCTGTTGGAGGTCATTGCGTGCTAATCGTCCAATCCTGTGCTCTGTGTTAAATTAGACTTATCCTCTCACATTCTTGTGCCACCTCTTTGGAAGTACGCTCAATCGATTCGGATCACTGACTTCTATCCAACGGGGTCGATATTTTTGAAGTAAATCCAACGACACGTTGGTACACCACAAACAAAAGCTTCGGAAGTCTATTCACTAAGGCCAACTATAGTAACTTTGCTTATTTGAGTTGTAGCAGTACCTTTGGGATACCATTCGACAGAGCTTCTTTAAGGCTGTCAGACAATATATAACTTGCTACTGTGCACCACTGTATACCATAGGTACAAGCATTTTTGTCATCTC